TGGAAAGAAAGAAAAGGGAAACCTAAAGAAACCTAAACTGACAGATTAACCTGTTCTGACTGCAAACATCATTCTTCTACATCATACATTATCATTTATATATGATATGTATTAGGGTTGTATTCACTACAATAGCCTAACAATAAGAGGACAACATGATACCTTACAACCAAGTTGGAAAATTAGGAGAGAAACTATGTCTTTAACATCTCTCGTGTTCCATACCTAATTTAACTCTTATTATTCTTTCATGTTTTGGGAATCTAGGGAGAGAGGCTCACCAGTGGCTCTTAGCTAAGGGGAACCTATATTACAGAGACCAACTATCTCAAAACAGCAGATGCTGTGGACAAATTATACTTTTGTACCCTACTTGGCACAACAGTAGAAGTTGTGAACATACAATGAAGCTGGTGTTGGAAGATTCAGGATAGACAAAGGAAAGTACTTCTTCACACAGCACATGGTTACAAGCTATGGAATTTGTTCCCACAAGATAGTAGTAAGTGCCACCACCTTGAATGGGTCTAAAAGAGGATTAGACAATTTTATGGAAGATAAGGCTATGAATGACTACAAGTCACAGTGCCTATGTTCTGTTTCCACTCATGGAGTATGTTGGCAGTATATTTCTGAGAATCACAGGTAGGGAGAGTGCAGTTGTGCTGAGGTTCTACTTACAGGCTTCCTGTGGGCATCTGGTTCTGCATAGTGAGGTCTGAGTTCAGGTCTATATGGGCCTTTGGCTGGATCCAGCAGGGTCTTGTTACACTCTTAAGCCCCCAGAGGTATTTAAACAGCTGCTTTTGGAATGAGAATGTTTGAAGTTGCACACTAAGAAACAGATCTTGATGAGACCCAGCAAAGCCATTCTTATGCCATTAAGAGTCCATGTCAATGATTGCCTGTGTTGATGGAGTGCCGCATTGTCTTGTTTTCCTCCACCAATCACCCTGTTCTGAATGTAGGGAAATCATTTTCATGATCATCACACTGATGAGGTAGTACCGTTGAGAACACATTAAAAATGAGTGTGTTGCTAAACAAGATGATACAACTCCACCTCTCTCTCTTCCTCAAGTACCCTCATTTGCAGAAAGACGCACAAAAAAATAATCATCATAATTTGATACTTTTTTTAAAAAAAAGATGTGGGAGAAGGGTAGGTGTGAGAGAAGATGGCAACATTATCCAACAAAATAGTGCTAATATGCAAAAAGTGAGTCTGTTGCTGGAAACCAGAGAAGGGGAGAATGTGATTGTGCTCTGGTCCTGGTCATTGGTTTCTCAAAGGCATCTGGTTGGCCACTGTGAAAACAGGATGTTTGACTAGATGAACAGCAAACTCTTCTTATGCTCTGATGTACTAATGAAACCCAGCCATAGAATATTTCCGTTTGCTGCATTTTTACTATAGTAAGAGATATAGCAAACAAGCAAACAATAAACGTCCACCTGCAACAGCCCTTCTACCTTCCTACAAAAAAAGCACCGGGAGCTTGTGTGTGATCACTTTTCTTCCCACCCCCAAGAGGCTCTAAGTCCCTTCTCCAGCATCTGATCACAGGCTCTTCATGAAATCACACAGTCCCTTAATGTGATAGCTCCAGGGGATGTGCCTGAGCTGATGAGAAAGGGAGAGTTTGTCAATCAGATGCCTCTGAAAGAAATTTGTTTCCCTTGAAGGATGCTGTTCTATCTGTAGAAACGCTTGTCAAGAGCTTGCTTTTTTCATTCTTTTCTCCCACTCCTACCCTATGTGTTCCTCCTGCAAGTTGTGAAGTATTGCAGCATTGCCTTTTCTTTTTTTAAAAAAAAATCATATCACACCTGCTTCCTTCGTAGACTTCCTTTTTTTATTCTTCTAACCACTTTGAAGCTGCACTGCTGTCATTAGTTTGGCTGAGAAAGGAAACGGAACAGAGTATGAATTCATAGCTGGTTGTGTAGGAGTTGCTTCACAACATGTCTGTCTCCTACTTCAAAAACAGAAAATATGCAGGAACCTGGGAAGCTCCTCTATAACAAGTCTGTCCAGTTGTCCATCCAGCTCAGGACTGTCTACATTGACTGGAAGCAGCTCCCCAGGGTGTCAGGACAGGGACTGAACTGTGGACCCTGTTCACATAGGACATGTGCTCTGTCCTTCTCCCAGATCGCCATACTAACTATAACATGGGTAGGAGGAAGATCTAAAGCAGGGACCGCCTGTGCTCATAGGACTCTCCAGACAGGAGAAAGTACAGAGAGCCTTCAGGGGTAAAGGAAATCCCCTATCAGACCTTTGGCCTCCAGAAGATGGAGGGTGACAAGGATGGTAACTGGAGGGACAGGGGTGGATGAATCATTTTGCTTTCAGTTTCTCATGTTTCCAGTCCTAAGGGGTCAGTGCAAGGATTTCTGCTTGCAATCACGGCATGATGCTGATTCTTTCAAAATGGAGGGGCAGCAGGAGAGATTTTCCTCTAAGTCAGGTTGCACTCCCAGTTCAAGGAAAGCAACAGTGAAGCCCAATAAAACTGGCCCCATAGGAACTGAGTGTGCAAACAAGCCCATAATTCTCTCCTGTGACCTGAGGCACCTTGGCAGGCAAGTCAATGTAGAAAGGGCTTTCTGCATGGGGAGCAGGGGAAAATGCTCAAAAGCGACTTCTGTACCATATTTTGAAAATATAATTATATCTCTGCCTCCTGCCATAAATTCATATCAATCTTGACATGGGGCTGCTTTCTCTCCCCCCCCCACCCCCATGGAGATGATTGACAACTGCATAACAGGCAGCAATTCAACGAGGACAGCATTTCCCATCTCTGTATACTACCCCACACAGAGGGAAGCCATTCCTGTTGAATTTCTCTTCATCTCCATTACGAAACTGTTAAAAAGGCACGGAGCTCCTGTCACAAGGGTGGGCAGTGGGCAGCAGATAGGAACAGGATTAATCCTTGATTGGTGATCATTTCTAACTCTGTTGACAACAAAGGTACAAAGTGGGGAAGGAGGGGGGACAACATGAATTTTAACTGCCAATCTGAAGTAAATCTTTTTTTCTGTAGTAGCACAGTGGAATTCCCCCCCCCCAAAAAAACCTTTAACACTGTGCCAGTTCTGTCACTCAATAAGGCTTGTGGACTCTCTCTTAGGCTGTTTATGCCTCTAGATTTGTGCTTGCTTCTGCTTCTTGCACTCACCCTATTTATCTCCTTCTCACACACATTCTTTTTCGCCTTTCATCCTTCTGGTGCTTCATCTTTGTCACAGTTATGGCTCTATATCCTTCTTCCCTCTTCCCTTGTTATCCCCCTTGTTAGTTGTTGACTTGTTTTTCTTGCCCCCCTCCCCGCTCCCATTCTCTCTGTGAGGTGTGCGGCGCATGCGCACGCCCCTCTCCTCTTCTTTCCTCACCCTTCTTACTCATCCTTTATCTCTTTCCCACTCTTTCTCTTTTTTCCAATTCCATTAACGAAAGTAGATAATAACTTGTGAATTCAAGTGGAACTTCATTTCTTAAACTGCACACTCGTGCTGGAACCCATTAAGCTCGATAGCGAGAAATGAGAGAAATCATAATTATCAGGCCAGTAAAATACATGAAACATAAAATTTGTCAGGGAAAGTAATTGAAATTATTGGAGCAGTTGGGTCTTGGTGCTGTGCAGGCCCGGAGTGATAATGGAAAGGTTATGGGCAATGTTTAGCAATGCTGATGAAGCCCAAGGTGACTCGCGCCACCACAGTCAGCAACTTTATGCTCTGCTTACATTAATTTGCTAATCCATCTTTAGAAATGGCCACACTGAGAAGAGCGCCAAGGTCCATAGAACCCCCACCAAAATTCTGGGGTAGTCAATAATGCAAAATGTTTACTTCCTTTTCCTCAGACTTTCGTTTCTGATTTCTTTCATTTGGACAAACACATCTGCCCTTTTGTGTCCTCCTTCCGTTGGCTGGTTTGGCCTTTGTTTAAAAATAAATAATAATAATAATAATAATAATAATAATAATAATTTATTATTTATACCCTGCCCATCTGGCTGAGTTTCCTCAGCCACTCTGGGCGGCTCCCAATCAAGTTTCTCTCTCTCTCTCTCTCTCTCTCTCTCTCTCTCTCTCTCTCTTTTTAAGCGTATCTGTGAAAAGTATTTTTCCAACAGGTGAAACATGGGGAACATGAGCAGAAACTTCCAGGGTGCCCTATGGAACACCATATATTCAACCTGTCTGTAAAATGAAAATGTCAGCGATTAACGTCCACTGGCCTGGCTTGGAAACAAACAACAGCAAAACCCAATTGCTTCAGTCATACACAGTGTCTTGCGCTAATTAAATTTCTGTCTTCTTTTCTTCCTGGCAAGTGCATACATTTTAAAAGTGGGGAGAGAAACCTACAGCCATGCAGACCTTGTTGGACTACAGCTCCCATCATCTCTGATCAAGCTAACTTGCACTTATGGGAGCTGGAGACCGGCAAAATTTAGAGGGTCATAGTTCCCCACCCCTGCTTTCAAACCTTACAGTGGCATGAATTTAGCATGTGAAGATACTCCCATCATACTGTTGTTGAAACACTGCCTCTTTCTTAAAAGTTAACATTCCCAATGCTAATGTGGCAATGCACAGAAAGTGAGACCATTGGTTTATCTAGCTCAGAATTATATTCACTGACTTGCAGTGACTCTCCAGGGTTTCGAATGGAGTCCCAATCTTACTTGGAAATGTCAGGGTTTAAATCTGATACTTTCTACATGCAAATCATGTGATCTGCCATAAAAAGCATGTTATATGAGGTCAGACTATTGGTTTATCTAGATCAATATTGTCTGTTTTGACTGGTAGAAGCTCTCCAGGGTCTCAGGCAGAGGACATTTGCACCAGCTATTTTCCGATCCTTCTTAGTTGAAGATGCTAGGGACTGAACTTCAGGCCTTCTGCACACAAAGCATAAGAACACAGAAGCTGAGTGACAGTGGCTCTCCAGGGTTTCAGGCAAGGTTTTATCCCAGTCCTACCTGGAGATGCCACAGAACCTGGAACCTTTTGCATGCAAAGTAAATGCTCTACCACTGAGCTATGGCTCTGAGTTGACTGGCTGAGGCCCCAGTCAAATGACAAGGAAACAGCAGCAAAACAGTCTGGCCCATTCTTCTTGATAGGATGAAAATAGCAGGTGACTGTTCGTATCTTCATGCCTTGAAGTGTCCTGTTAATTCAATCATATCAATAGAGCTCAGTCTGCAAGAATCAGTGTGTGGAACTATTCAATGCATAGGGATAACAGGCTACCAATTGTTCATTACTGCAGATGAAGCTGCTTGGAAGGGGTGGGTTTAAAAGTTGGTAACGCTGCTTTTTAAGGTTTGTACATGCCATTGATTACTGACAATAAAACGTGGTTGATTGAGTACTTATAGGTTGTACAGATTACAGTGCAAATGACATGTGACGGCGGTGCAAAAATGATGCATCTAGTTGCTGGGTTTTTATGTTTTAAAGATACTATTTTGAAAACCTGGGTGGGTTTAGGAAACAACAAATATAGCCATCTCCAAGCTGGAGCTTGTCAGTTTCCGAGGCAAGGACATGTTTTACAGAGCTAAATTTCAAACCCCAGGAAATAATGGTACATAATAAACTGGCCAAAAGACCTCTTAACAGCAGCTGCTGGAGCTGCACAGCCATAATACCACTCCCTTGGTGTTCAAAGCTCCTTATTACAGGGACTACATTAGATGAGGCTTGTCAGAAAAGGGCCAATTGGAGGTGGCTTTCCAGCAAGCCTCTTCTGTCACCATTAATACCTTTCTGATAGCACCAGAGTGGGATTTTGCAGGTACAATTTGAGAATAATTTATGGTCACTTTTCTAGCCTTCCCTTCTTCCTACACACGCCAATTGCTCATTGGATGTGGATTTTGCAGCATGATGCATGGGCAACACCCTTTGGAGGGAACAAGCAACCATCACTCCTTGCAACTAGCAAAAAAAAATTATATAGCAATATAATTGGGGTAGGGGTGGGGGTCATACAGCAAAATAAGCTGTTATCACGCAGAGGAATGAGTGCAAAATGACCAAAAACTCAAGAAGCTGCTCTCTCCATGAGTCCCTCTGGGAGATGACTTCTGAATATATCAGCACTTTCATCTTGGGAGGTGTGGCCTTGGAAAACTCTCAAATAGGCCCAAGGGAAACAGAGATTCTGATATTATCTTCTTATTGTCCTTGACTATTCTTTTACATAAAGGGATGTCAGAAATATTCTGTAAAGCATGTAAAAGGATTTCTGCAAAGGATGTAAAAGACGCACCAAAGAAGAAAAACAGCAATAGGTAACCAAGCAATGTTCTCAAAACATGGCAGTGAGATCATTTTCAAATCAGGCATGGACAGGACTAGGGATGTGGTCCATGAGGGCTGAGTGGAAAACAGTCACCAAAAATTATCCATGTTGTTTGTGGGTGCATCTTGCTGAATGCTCTTCTGAGGTGACATGAAATTCTCCCTCAGTTTTTCTCAGGAAGTTGTTTTCTGAGAAATACCAGCTCTGTGTTCTTTGACTGAAACACTGTTGTTAGTTCAGACTGGTAGATGAAGGAGGCAATGGAAGGCGAGAGGAGGAGTGGAAGAAATAGGGGCCAGGTCCTTGTTTCCTTCAGCAGTGTTAAGATAATATTAACAATGTTAAACTGGATCTACAAAAGTGCCCAGAATTTATGAAAAAATTCCAGGGGAGGAGTCAAGTTCTCCAACAGTTCAGGAGGATCCCAAAAGAAAGTTATGTAAAATAATTTAAAAATGACTGTAAATTGTTTTCTAAATAACTTTTACTTAAATTGTCTATGCTCTAGTAACCTCTGACTTAGATTTCTGCAATGTGTAATGAACATGGGGCTGCCTTTGAAAGTGATTTGGAAACTAAAGCTGGTGCAAAATTCAGTGGTCAGGTGGTTGACTACGGCAAAATGGTCTCAACACATAGCATATATGTTGTAAGCCACCCAGAGTGGCTGGGGAAACCCAGCCAGATGGGTGGGATATAATTTTTTTTTTTTTTTTAAATTATTATTATTATAACACCAATACAGTGGACCCTCGAATTATGTACTGCTCTGGATAAGTAACTTTCGGGTTGCGAATGTGGCAAACCCGGAAGTGTATACTTCTGGTTTTTGCCGCATGCACATGCATGTGCGCAGAAGCGGCGCCTCCAGTTACAGACTTTTCAGGTTAACTATGGACCCCGGAACGAATTTAATTTGTATCTGGAGGGTCCACTGTAGTGGTATGACTGCATTGGCTACCAATTCATTTCTGGGCCTAATACAAAGCCCCGGTTTTGACTTACAAAGTGTTATGCTAGACCCCAATACCCCAAGAACCATCTCTCTCAACCAAGAACAACATGAGAATGGGCCTTCTCGGTGGTGGCTCTCCATTTATGGAATGTTCTCCCCAAGGAGACATGGCTGGCACCACCATTATTTGTTTTTAAGCATCCTTGTTCTCCCATGATTTTGGATCTTAATTTTCTGCTTATGGGGTAGGGTGGAGTATTAGTGGGGAAATGATTCAAAAATATGTTTATTATGAGAAAGTCACACAAAAGTGCTGGCACACATGCACGCATGCACATATACATATATACACACACAAACATACATTGTCATGCGCATGTGGAGAATTTAAGAATAAGAGGAAAATGAGAAAAATCAGAATTGAGAGTTTTGCTCATTCGTAAAGTCCAATCAGGTTATGTTGGCAGCTGAGGCAGAAAAAAATTCAGATTCACTAGATTAAAAATATGATATAGTATAGCTATAAGAGTTACTTGCAGCCTAATGTGGAGATACGCTCAGCAATCATCTGCAGGTATCTTCCAGTATTCACATATTGTTGGCTATCCCAATCAAAGGTGGACAAAAGAGCTAATCTGCCCAGACCCCTTTGAACAAAACTGACTACAGTTTAGAAACATAAGTGAAAGACTAAGCTTCACCTTTTGGTGACTTCCTGGTCTGCTGTTGTTGCTGCCACAGAGTCACTTTAGACTTTTCTTCTCTTTGCAAAAGGAGTAAAGAAAGGAAAGCCCCGTGACAGAATTTAAGCTTGCAACTTTCCCCCGCTTCAAAGGTTTAGGAAGAAAGGCAGTGTAATGATTTGGGGTCCTACAGGCAGCTCGATTCATTGAGAGCTTTGGCCTGCATAAATATACCCCCCAACCACAATCAGGTTTTGTGGGATTTTAAAGAATTATTTTTTTTTCCTGAAGAGGAGGGTGAGGGGTGGAAAGCATTCTTTGCTGTATGGCTTTTGAGCTGTTACTAATGGTTTCCTTTGAATTCCAGGCTTGTTTGAAATTATAAACTTTTTAAATATATTTAATGCCGAACAATCAGGGAAACAGCCCCCTCACAGTTCGCGTTTCCTACTTGCAGGTTGCTCTTGTTTCCATGGTGATGGTACAACCACTGCGATTTGCTGACATTCACACCTCCCTCCTCACAGCTAGTGGACGGGTGCTGTAAGAGGCCACTGTAATTGACTAACCTCCCAGCTAGCCAGCAGTTTTGTTCTGCTGTTGGCAAAAGAGGGATTTGCCAAGAAAAACCTCAATAGGGGGCTTTGCCTGTTAGAACAAGCTAGGCAAAGGGCTGGTGCCTGCCTGAGTATATTTGATAATGATAGGGCTAATCTCTCTCTCTCTCTCTCTCTCTCTCTGAGTGAAGCTCCAGCAGACTCTCTAAAGTTAATGGGAGACAATGGAGACAGTCTTCTCCATTCCTTAAAACAAAGATCACCAACTGTTGCTCTGTGGACACATAAATAATTTGTGGCAAATGCTTGCTTATTTTATTTATTCCCTTATTTATTTCATAAAATTTATACACAAATTTATTGTAAAAAGAAAACAACACCTCAAAGTGGTTTGCAAAAAGAAGAAACAATTAAAAAAATACTTTAAAACATACAAAAGTTAAAAAGGATTAAATTTACCACAACTTCCTAAGTATCTGGGTAGGCTAGTCTAAATAAGAATGTTTCTGCAGGGGCCGGAAAGTGTACAGTGACAATGCCTGTTTTTTATCAACAGGCAGGGAGTTCCAAAGTATAAGAACTATTGAGCTCTTACAAATGCAGGCCAGGTATTATGTGGCAGCCCGTAGTAGTGCCAATTCTGCTGATCGAAGTGGTTGAGTGGGCGAGGTGATATTGTGGGTAAACTGGTCCCAAGTTGTTAAGGGCATTATATACTAATACAGTGGTACCTCGGGTTACATACATTTCAGGTTACATACACTTCAGGTTACACACTCCACTAAGCCAGAAATAGTGCTTCAGGTTAAGAACTTTGCTTCAGGATAAGAGCAGAAATTGGGCTTCGGCGGCACGGCGGCAGCAGGAGGCCCCATTAGCTAAAGTGGTTCTTCAGCTTAAGAACAGTTTCAGGTTAAGAACGGACCTCCGGAACGAATTAAGTTAACCCGAGGTACCACTGTAGTAACATTGAACCTGGCTCAGCAGCAAATTGGCAACCAGAGCATATCTTGCACTTGAGCTTCCTTACAGGAAAATATTCTAGTTGCGGCATATTTTGCACCCTCTCAGCTTGGCACCCTGGGGGGGGGGGGATTGCTTGCATTGCCCAAATCCAGCATGCATATTTGTGCCTTTAGTTTCGGAGATCTTAAGGGGGAAATCCATAAAAACCTCCTAAACAGTAGATAGGTTTGCTTTTTTGTCTTTTAATACCCTCCTTGCTTTGCTGTCTTTTCCATGCTTTATTCAGCTTGTAGAATCGCATATGAGTCAGAAAGGTTTTACCAAGCAAGCAACAGTTCACTTCAGTCTTTTTCCCATTGTTGCTTTTCTCCTCGCTTAAGTAGGCAAAGTGGTTTAAAAACAAAAGCACACAAAGAGACCAAGAAAGCTCTGGGGAATTCTATGAGATCTCTCCAGGCTTTGAAGTAGGTAAGCAACAATTTATGTGCATGATGGGGTGGTGATGGGGAGATAAAAAGATGAATTCAAGCGATAACAAAGGTAGTAGCCTCTTTCTTAGGCAGCCGCGTTATCAGGCCTCTTTTAAGACATAAGCATCAAGGAGTATAATGGTGTCTTTAAATACTAGCAAATTATGAGAGTCCCAGCATTGGAAGAGACTTCAAAAGTCGTCAACACGCTCCTCAACAGGGTTCTTTCAATTTCACATTAGCTGAACCCTAGGAATCTGAGGTAGAATCTGGGGCAGGCAGAAAGTTCTTTCTTCTCTATGACAAGTATTCACTTAGAGTTCAAGCAATATACAGTAGTACCTCAGAAATGGAGGCAGTGAGAGATTTTACTTTCTTGGACTCCATGATCACTGAAGATGGTGACAGCAGCCACGAAATTAAAAGGCGCCTGCTTCTTGGGAGAAAAGCAATGACAAACCTAGACAGCATCTTAAAAAGCAGAGACATCACCTTGCCAACAAAGGTCCGTATAGTTAAAGCTATGGTTTTCCCAGTAGTGATGTATGGAAGTGAGATCTGGACCACGAAGAAGGCTGATCGCCGAAGAATTGATGCTTTTGAATTATGGTGCTGGAGGAGACTCTTGAGAGTCCCATGGACTGCAAGAAGATCAAACCTATCCATTCTTAAGGAAATCAGCCCTGAGTGCTCACTGGAAGGACAGATCCTGAAGCTGAGACTCCAATACTCTGGCCACCTCATGAGAAGAGAAGACTCCTGGAAAAGACCCTGATGTTGGGAAAGATGGAGGGCACAAGGAGAAGGGGACGACAGAGGACAAGATGGTTGGATAGTGTTCTCGAAGCTACCAGCATGAGTTTGACCAAACTGCGGGAGGCAGTGGAAGACAGGAGTGCCTGGCATGCTCTAGTCTATAGGGTCACGAAGAGTCGGACACGACTAAACAACTAAACAACAACAACCTTGGGTTACAGACACTTCAGGTTACATATGCTTCAGGTTACAGACTCTGCTAACCCAGATTAGTACCTCGGGTTAAGAACTTTGCTTCAGGATGAGAACAGAAATCGTGCTGTGGCAGCGGCAGGCCCCATTAGCTAAAGTGGTACCTCAGGTTAAGAACAGTTTCAGGTTAAGAACGGACCTCCAGAACGAATTAAGTTCTTAACCTGAGGTACCACTGTATACAATACAACACCAATTACAAAATTTAGAATATTTTAAAAAGCCAATTCATTTTCCTACCTAGCAAGCAACACAAGCAGTATATTAGCATTTAAAATAATCTATTCCACAAGCAAAAAAACATGGTTCCAAAAGGTCTGGGGAATTAAAGAAGTCTTCACCTGGTGCTGAAATGACCTTAATGTAGGCACCATGTGAGCCTCAGTGGAAACAGCATTCCATATTCAGAGCACCACCACCAAAAAGGTCGTCTTTTTAGTAATACTCAACTCTTTTGGGGGGGGGGGGGAACCTGGTGAAGAATCTCTGAATTAAGTTCTCAAAATCCAGACAGGTGTAATTGAGAAGTATACCTCAGGAACGGAGCTTTGTCCCATCTACAAAAAGGGCAAATATCTTAGAACAACTTTTATGTATTGAGATTGTGGCAGGAGTTTTGTGCAGCGTTTCCTAGGCAACCTGAGGTACTGTTTTTGCAGAGAAAGATAATAGTTTCAGAAAGTCAGGAAAATTCCTTCACTTGAATTGCCGTTTTGGCAAGTGGTTCTTTGGAGTAGCAGTCACTCACTAAACTGGCGTGACAAGACTGCTGAATAGCTGCTTCAATACACTTGGAGTCTCTTGTGTGTGCAAGCTCTTAAACATATGAAAGAAATTGCTAAGATAAATGTGATTTGTAATCTTTTTTCACTTTATAATTTAACCTTTTTTTCTCTGGTCTGAACTGTTTCTGCTTCAGTGATTCAACTTAAGGGGATGGTGGGGAAGAAGATTTGAGCACCTGTATTAAATATTCTTTTGTACTCGGCAACACAATGTACTTCTTATCATGCAACAATTCCATAAGTACATCAGAGTCATGTGTAAATGTTTGGATGGATATGCTATAAGCAAGCAAAGACTACTTAACCTCTTAGAGTTTCTAAGAGTCCATTCACACGTTAGAAAAAATGGTGAGGAACTAGGAGCATGATTAAACTTTACTCCTAATGCCATGTCAGAATACAAATTTGCACCTCTCATCTGTGATGAGATCCATAGCCCTCAGAAGTCTCCTGGAGCTCCTGGTTGCTGAAATTAAATGTGTTTTCCTTAGATTGTCTCTAGATTGTCTGACTCTTTATTGGGACATCTAGGAGTTATGAGGTGTGCCATTGCTGGATTTTTGGAAATCATTATGGGTCGCTGGAAGTTAACTTGTGGCTTATTTCTTAACCACACTATCCTGCCTCTGACCCTAAGGTTTGTATAGGTGCCATAACTAGTATCAGTTGATAGCTTCATTCTCCATGAATCCATCTAATTCCTTTTTAAGGCTAAGTTGGCAGCTATCATTATGTCTTGGGCTTGCAAATTCCATAGAAGTGTCTCTTTAATCAGTCCTGAATCTTCATCTACTCAGGTTAATTGGATGACCTAGGTTCTCATATTATAAGAGAGTGGGGGGAAACTTTTCCCACATCATGCATAATCTTGTAAACCTTTACATGCCACCCAATGACCCTGATGTTACAGGGCAGGACATTAGGGTTTAGGGTGCTAGGGTTTAGGGATGCTTGAGGAATTCTATGATTTCAGATGGTATCTAACCTGATTTGGACTAATGTTCAAATGGGAACATTATTATACTTAAGCTTCTACCAGTGCTTTTTTTTTTGCTAGAAAAATAGGTGCTGGTACTCACCATGAAGTTATTATAGCAAGTGTCACACTTTTTAATGAGAGAGAGAGAGAGAGAGGGAGGGAGGGAGGGAGGGAGGGAGACGTGCCAGTACTGCATGCCCTTGAGTACCCCCTGAAAAAACACTGGGTTCAATGCACACAAAAATGTACAAAAATGCATTTTTGTACATTTTTGTGTGCATTGAACCCAGTGTTTTTTCACAAAATGTGTTCATTGAATCAAAATACATATTTAAATGCATACTTTGTGATAAAATACATATGTAAATACAAGTTTTCAGGCCAACATTTTTTAATGCAGATTAATGCAAGGATGTGACAGACCGAAGGAATGAATTAATACATGTGAAGCTGAAATGACACAGAAAGGGACTGACAAACCCTGCTTGGATTTTGATTAGAATGGGGAGATAAAGTTTGGGCATCAGAAGTCTTGCTTCCCATTCTGAGGGAAATGTCCTGAACTCTGATGTTTATCTCCAAGACGTACTCAGGAAAACATCTACAATGTTTGTTTATGTCTCAAACGCATTTTCATTTGCAGAAAGAAATACCACCAAGGTTCACGCCATTATATATATATAAAAAAAGCAATCCAATTGCTTCCAATTAATCCAATCCAATTAAAAAAACACCCAATAAACAACAATAAAATTAACAGTAAAATATCACCAAGGAACCAAGAACAATAGACACTGACACTAATGGTCATGGAGCACCTGGGTAAATACCTATTCCTGGTCCCTAGACTGGAAACATGTCGATATGCTTTATACCCAAGGAGATAAATTGCAGCCCACCATTAGACCACTAGCCAGTTTTTGGTGGAGCACATAGTACCTTCTTATATCTCTGTTTCTTGAAAGGAATGCAAGAATAGATCGGTCTCCTCCAATCCAGCAAGTCACTTAAGCAAGTATGTGTAGTCAAGATTATCTATCCTGTATATACTGTTTTGCTTAGTAAATTAAAAGCGCCTGAGTAGACCATGTGAATTCTAGCTTAAAACAAATTAAACAAATTAAAGCAAGGAGACCACACAAGTCTAATGTCAGTCCAATCCTTGAAACCATTCTTTGAAAGTGCAGGTCATCCTTCAGGGACGAACTACAAATCTTGCTGGAACCAACTGTAGTTTCAGATAAGACCCTTGGAGAATGGCAAACTATGCTGTCAACTTTCATTTAGGATAATAAAAAGCTGAGAAAATACTATGTGATAGCTGGGAAAATGGGGGGACACTGGAATGCCACCTATCTGATTGTATTACCATGTATCTAAACTTTTATTGTTATTAGGCTAGCTTGCTGACAACAATGATCAATCTTCAATGTCAGTTTCACAATTATGTAGCAGGCTGCCTTTATATTCATTAATGTGGATAAGGAAAAGGAAAGGCAAATATTTCTCTCTCTCTCTCTCTCTCACTTCCAGCTTTATTTTTGATTCATTATTGGCAACTTGGGTTAAGTTCAGATCAAAGTTGCACTACTCTGGTTAGCGATTTTACCTTAATAAATAGTGCAAAAAATTCAATTGGAACCCCCCCCCATAGATAAATAGTAACACATAATAACAAAACCATACCTGATGGGAAGAATTATGCAGGTTATAAAAAATTTATTTGAGTACAAAAGTAGGGGAAAGAACAGAATTTTAAAAAATAATAACCTTTTCAGGGAGAGAAAGGGGAAAAAAACCTCTCAGTATAATACTCTCAGTGCATTAGGCCATTAGGCTCTGACTGGTCTAAAAGCAATATGATAAACCCTGGAGTGAAAATATTTTTCTTTACGAGAGATTCCTAAATCTCACTTTGTTAAAATGGTGACACAATAGATTTATTCCTCTCCCCTGAAAATCTGTAAAATATACAATGGAGGTAGAAAATGTTGATTCTGTAATTATGTTAATGAAGATTTTGTCCCTTTGTAGTGGATATGCATTTAAAAAATACTGAAATGTGGTATCTGGTAACCATCAGTGACATGTTAGAATTGCATTAACCTTTGAGTTTCTTAATTTACCAATCGAATTATATAAATTATAAAGTACTAGAAGAATATTATGAGTCTATTTTAAATTTTGGCTAGCTTCTAGATTGACATTTGTAAAAAAAATGGAAAGTATGCACAAAACCTATCAAAAAGAGTGGTTAATGTAGATCTTGGAGACAATCAAATTAGTAAAACTAACAGGATTTAAAAGGTCACAATTTAAGTGACACCTTTTGAATGAGAAACGGAGCCTGGTTGTTCGGTATATAGGGCAAGAAAACCAAATGGATATCAAATTATTATTCTCTTTAAAATAATAGCAAAGATAATTCAGGAGAAGAAGAGATAGTAACTAATTAACATACAGTGTCACAGCTCAAGCACTCCAACAAGGACTTTTAAAAAATTATTCTTTTTCTTTAAAAGTTAGAACAAACACAGGAGAAGAAAAGTAAGTTAAGTTAGATACACCAAATCTATGGTCAGATTTCATACTTTCCATTTGTCCATGCTAATTAGTTGGTTTCTTTTTCTTCTTTATTACCTGGATTAACCCGTTTACCATTTTTTAAAAAAATAAAACACCTCAGAAACCAAACTTTTCTGCAACTGTTTCAATAGTCCCAATCTTAGTTGTACTCAGAACCCATGACTAACCATTCAGAACTCCAATTTAGGTGGCACAGATGTATAGGCGCTGCTTTTTTGTGAATTAGTATCATGTTTTCACATGTAAATTCATTTTATTCCATATCTGCATTACCCTGCACTTTTTAATGGATCAGATAATATTTTTGTATGGATTAATATGTATTTAATTTTTTTGAAACGTATTTGACCTCAGAGTATGTATCTTTAAATGTATTTTATGTCAAAATAAAATTCCTAGACATATTTTCTGTCAAAATATATATCTCAAGAAAACAAGAAAAACCCTGGAATACTATTAGAGTTGAAAACTACTCCTGGACAGCTCCTCAAAATCCATCATGCTTTCCACCCCCACCCCCGCTTTGCTGTCGTAACTGAGAGATAATGCCAAAACTTTTGATCATTTTGCTAATCTAGTTATTTGTTCAGCCTTTGATTTCTTGGTGTATTCCTTCTGAAGCTCTGAGGTGTGATTTGGCCAAATTCCAGCAAGAATCTTTGCATCCTTATTTTTGTAAATGCCTTCTGATTTTAATTAGAGAAGCTGACTTTCATTTCAGATTTGTGTGTGTGTGTGTGTGTGTGTGTGTGTGTTGTATATATCTCCTGTTTTTGGTTAAGAATAGATATCAAATCCCAGCTCAGAGGTGCAGACATTTTTGTATGAGGCAAGTGAAGCTTCCTAGTACTACTACTACTGGCGTGCTCTGGTCCATGGGGTCACGAAGAGTCAGACACAACTAAACAACCAAACTACTACTACTACTACTACTACTACTACTACTGTTACGATATAGAAGCAATGCAGCCGCGAGCTGCTAGCTTGAAAACAGCACATGATGGAATGTTAGGACTGTTCCGTGGGAAACAGAGGGACAGTCAATTCACAGGGAATGCACCGGAATTAGCTCAGAGTGTAATATGAGCTCTTCCTTTTGCTCTTGTACAGGAAGTGTTTCTCTCTCGACTGCTGGAGCTTGAAGAGAGCAGTCATGCTTTTGTAATGCTGCAAAGACAGAAATAAAGGCATGTAAATACGTTTCTGTCTATCTCTTTCCCCTGCCGGGGGGGCAACAAAGAGGGGGGGTGTTCTTCTCACGCTGAGAAGGATCGCCTATTGCGACCTAGCCTGGATCTTGCTGGGAAATGCAGCCAGGGAGGTCAACAGGAGATCAAGCCGGGTGCCTGGATAGTGGCCAGTTTCTCCTGATAAAGGCTTGATTCCCAACAACAACTACTACTACTATATGCTCTGTTGGAGAAAGTTAAATTCCCCAAAATGGCTGGCAGAAAGTTTAATAATATTCTGGGCTGCAATCAGCAAAATGTAACAGTTAGCTCTTTAAAAAAAAATCAAACAAAATAAAGATAAGTGTTTGTCCATTTTTCTATGTCCATCAGTGGGTCTAAATTTCAGGGATGCTGGAGAAGGGGTTGCCAAATTCTCATCCCCCCCCCTCAATGCCCTTTATTTTAAAGGCCAATAGTAAGAAGATGAGACTCAGTATGCTTCTGCTTCCCTCTGATAATGAAGGAAACAGTTTTAGTTCAACAAGAATCTGTTGGGAGCAATGGTCCAGTATGATGTTGTCTCTCACAAAGTCATTGCTTTGAGCATTTCTCCAGAATGGGAGCAGCAGCACCAGGTTGAAGCGGAGCCCTGATTAAGTGCTGGCCTAGTGCCATCCCAAACCTGAGCTTACCAGAAATTGGGCAGCTGTAAGGGGAGGTGGTAAAAGAGAAGCAGTGGCGGTGACTACCGCCAGCTTCTTCTCTCCAGAAAGTCCCTGGGGCATGCTGGGTAATGACAGTTTCAGGCTTGCCATTGGATAAATTAGGGCAGGTGTCTCAGGCAGCAGAAGCTGCTGGTGAGCAGTGGTGGTGATGTGTTGGGCAGCAGAGTTAGTGTGTTCCACATGGCTTTCCTTGCACCCCCTAAGGTAGCCTGCTGCCCTCATTTTTAGTGGAGAACACTGACTGTCCCATTGACAGTATTGAAGTAAGAGATTCAGCTGCTTCTGTACCATCTTGTCCATCCTCAGGCAGCAGAATGTCTTGGGTCAAACCTGGGAAATGAAGATGATGACAGGTCACAGACTCACATACTTGGTGCTTCTCCTCTGACCATTAAGTCCCACAATCTTCTGAAAGTGGGAAAAATCAAAGAGGCCAGCATCAGTTGCAGTGGGCATGGGCATTTGCCCTATCATACTAGGTGGTGATGTTTGGTGTCCTTTGGAAGAAAGGAAATTGAATGAGTCATTGGCTGAGGCAGCTTACGTCATTGATGGCCAATGTGGTCCCCTTGCAGATGTTGTTGGACTGCCACACCTATAAGCCACAGTCAACATTGCCAGTAGTAGTGATGATGGCAGCTGGCATTCAACAGCATCTGGAGGGCACGACATTGGCTATCCTTGCTTTAGATAGTAGATTGTGACTGCTGGATGAGCCCATGCATGAACCAGACTCCACAGGGCCTCTCAGAATTTGATCAGTTTATAGTTAAAAAGTTTCTCCACACTTTCACATAATGAAAATTGTGTGTGC